CGCCGCTCGATTTAGGATCTGGGTCGGGAGATGCTGGCACCGCTGACCCCGAAAAGATTGAGATGCTTGGCGCCATGGGATTCGGTGCTCCTCAAGCTAAAAAGGCATTAAAAGAAACTGGCGGTGATGTCGAGCGAGCTGTGGAGTGGCTATTCAACCACCCTGACGACCAGGGCATCACGGAGGATGAGGCCTCGGGCGCAGCAGCAGAGACATCCCCCAAAGAGCCTGCTGGAAGCGCGACGCTGCCGGCAAGATTCCAGCTGCAGTCCATTGTGTGCCACAAGGGCACAAGCATTCACGCAGGGTAAGTATACATCTCTCTGAGTGTTCTTCATATATTTCAGTACTCTAATTGTTTTTCATCAGTCATTACGTTGCCTTTATTCGCAAGGCCTTGGAGGGCAGGGAGACGCCCACATGGGTACTCTTCAACGATGAAAAGGTGGTGGAAGCTCACGACGTTGAGGAAATGCGCAAGTTTGCATATGTGTACTTTTTCAAGAGAACTTGAAGAGGAAGTCAATACGTTTTTTATAGGTGACGGTGCATTCGGAGAGACGGCGTTTGATGCGTTGCCTCGTTCGTATGGCAACGCTTGGAGACTGTTTGGAGGTGTGAGCCTGGTCATTGGTGCTGGTTTGAGAGGGTCATGAATAAGGGGGTTTTGCCCAATTGCATCCGATATAGATGAAATACTGCAGAGAGATCGATACCAACAAGAGAATATTCATCAATATATATCTCCCTAGCTTGCGGACGAAATCTCGTGAAAAGCTGCATGATGCACCCGATTTATTTCCAGTTCTAACGCCGTACCAAAAAGCCCAATTGTCTCGTTTGCAGAACGGCCAGTCAAATCAAGGGACAAAACCTCGTAAACCGTAATCCCAACCTGGCCAACCCCCGTTCCATCTATCAGTTCCATATTATTATATAGTTTTTCATCATTCAAAATTCGTTTTCAGTCCCCCAATCGGTAGCTGACGAGCGTATCGACGCGGTGGTTCGCCGTGCTGAAGCCTCTGAGCTGAACCCTCTCGCCGTTCTCGATTTCCTTTGCGTCCGAGTCGCCCCACTCGACGGGGACGTCGCTGTCGGCGTCTGCGTAGACGAGGACGTTGAAGGTGCAGTCGCCGGAGAGCTGGGGGAGGAATGTGACGGAGGCGGTGATTTGGCGGAAGATGGCGGCGATTTCGGCCTGGATCTCGGCTTCGGGCTTGTCTTTTTCGGCGAAGAGGGTTGTTGAGGAGGCGGAGTTTTCTTGTTGTTGCTGTTGCTGTTCTTCGTTGGAAGGGTCTGTGGGTGGTTTGGATTTGGATTTTGGTGGTGGAGCTGAGATTTGGACCTTTTGTGTTTGGGAGCAGTGAATGTTAGCTTTTTCTTTTTCTTCTTTTATGTTCTCGATTGTGTGTGGATTGAGGAGAATTGCGTCGTACATCGAATTGCCAGCGCTCGACGTGTTCGCCGGTATCTTTGTCGGTGATGACGATGACGAGCTTGGAGATTTTGCCGCCAATCATCCATTTGTCGAGCTGGCTCATGATTTTCTTGATGTAGGCTTTGACTTGGTCATCGGCGGAGACTAGAGATCGGAAGGTCAGTTTCGTGCGCGTCTTGATTTTGGAGAGTCGAGGTCCGGGGAGGGAGGTGGTGATGTACCGAGCATGTTGAGGCCATATTTCTTGACGCTGTGGTTTGGAGATGGGTTAGCGGATGGTTTTTTGTTTGATCGATTGATTTGGGAGTTTTGGGGAAGTGAATATGTCGTACGCTGTAAAGTCTTCGGCTGGGTAGACGCCTCGTTGGAATCTGTCATGGGAGAGTAGCGTCAGCTATTTCGTTCGACGCTGAGGAGGAGATCTGGTAGCTTTGAAAGGTGCGTTTCGTACAGGATTGTGTGTATCGAGTATTGGAACTAGAGACGAGAAGAGAAAGCAGTTAGAAAATCTGTCGCTGGCACCAATTGACGAGGGAGACGAGGGCCGCCAGTCGGACATACAAATTCAGCAACCAGCCTGGAGCTGCCCTTGAGCGACAGCTTGTGCACCTTGGAGTCGTCCTTTGCCTTGTCCTTGTCCTTATCCTTGGGCCGTTTGTCTTTGGACGACGCGGACTTGGAAGATGGTTTTCTGGCTTCCTTGTCCATGGCTGAGGGCGGACTTGAGGTTGAATGGAGGAAGAGAGGAAAAGTCGAGATGATGATGACGATGGTAAGATTCCAGGTCCGATCTTGGGACGGAAGATGGCTCTAGCTGATTTTGTTTACTTTGGGCGATGGGCGGTTGCGGGGCGGCGAGCTGGGGGGTTTTGTCGAATCAGAGGCTGTGAAATGCCTGGCAGATGGAGATGACCTTGATGGCCTGGAAACGCTGGGCTTGGGGCAATGTTACAGTATAAAAGCAGTATATTATACTGGATTGAGAATAATCTAAAATGAGAGAATGGAAATTCCGGATTCTTTAATTTGATTCATCTTGATTGCATTGGATTAAAATCACGTGCCGTCTCATATTCCGACAAATCTCCCTCCACTTTATCATCACCATCTCCAACTCCATCTTACATACTCGTCATTAAACTCTTCCTCTCCATGTCTTCTTACACCTCCTGCACAATCTCCACACCTCTCGAGTAAATCCGCGCTGGCCGAGGAAACACTCCCCTTGCAGCCAATCTTGCCCTCGCCGCTGCTTCTTCCGCAGCCTCGCGCCTCTGGATCGCTGTCCTTGCATACCAGTAAGCCTCGGAGCCATGGGCGAAATACTCGCTCACGTTATCCAAAGTGATTCCAGCTATGAACTCGTCTAAATCTCCCATCTGAGGAGTCGAATCTTGAGCTTCTGCTTGAGTTTGATCTTGGCGATTCGATCCGCCTCCACCAGAGCCTCCAGGTCGAGGACGAGACCCAGCACTTGTCGATGTGCCGTCGCCCTGGACTGCATAGTGAGATACAATGAGGCGAATCAGGATGCCGAGGCTAACCAGCAGCGGGATTGTCTGCCCACTGGTATTGACTCCGTCGACATTGTCAAATTGGTTCCATCTAATCGTCAGTTCAATGGCAGTGATGTGAAGTCCGTACACAACCAGATTGGATATGCTCCGCATGGTGCGCAAGAGATCTTTCTGTTCCTGTCTGGCACGCTCCCGTCTTGCGATGCGTTCTTGGGTATCCTGCTCTGGTCTGAAGTTTTTCTGTCAGATACAGCACTGGGTGTTCATAGGAGCATTGAGAGGGGAGGCTGACTGACTGTCTTGTACGATGCTTCTTTCGACGTCTATGCCTGCGTATTCGAAACTGTGTTTTCCAAAACCCCGTATACGACAGGACAATGCCAACGCAAACGAGAATAACGATGATGTGCAAGATAATATTGACCACAATGAATCCGACGTTATCGAGTTTGACTTTCGTGAAGAAAAATCCATAATCCTCGCATTGGTGCCCTCTTGTGGGAATATAGGTACTAAAGAGCCAGAGTTGAAGAGATGAAATGATGACCATAACCAACATGGTCGAGACGCCATAAACCGGCACATGGGGCTCTCTCGTCCACTTGAGCGGATCCCACTTGCGGTCACAGCATGTGAGTGTCTTCCAAATGTATATTGGTATGAGAAAGATGTATGAGCCACCAGCGAGTTGAAGCATGATGTAAATGTCGGCTGCTTGGAGATTGTGGTTCACAATCTCAACAAGCAACGCGAGAACAACGGCGCCAGACAGAAGGAGGCCGAGCAGTCGTATATCCGAGACGTCTGTGTCGTCAAAGAACTCGACGATAATTTCGCCAAACCACTGGAAATAGATTCCGAGGCGGATTCCCAGACCGTACATGTCAGGACGCCCCTCTCGCCCGCAGGAGTTCATCGTGCCGCTCTGCAATCGCGGCAGACATTTTCCATGATTATTGTGGGAGATTTGCGATATAGATGCCTGTTGCTTGTCTCTAGAGGATGTTGAAAGAGGAAACTCGTGCAGATGAATCAAGACGGCCGCAGATGTGGTCATTTGCTGCAACTCGCCTCACTGCAGTACCGGAGTTCGCTCTGTCTTTAACCTTAACAGACGTTGTTCATTGTCCGGTTGGGCAAAGAACGAAAGCAAATCCGGTTTCCGGACGCCGGTTACATGTTACATTTTCCCAGTGCGGTGCTTGACAGTCAGTGTCCAGCATTGCGTCCAAGAGGCGGAAGAGGCAGGTAAGGCGAGCTGGTGTTAGTGCGGACACGCCATCATTGTCGGACGAGGTGATACAAGAGAGAGTGTGAAGGGACATATCATAGGTTCGTTGACACGGGTGCCTTTTTGGGGGGGGGGTTTTGATTGAGGGGATATGAAACAGAGAGCATGTGCTTGTCAGGGCCCAAGTGGAACGTGTTTGTTGGGCATTTACTTTGTGAGTACGGATATTGAGACTCGCGATGTATTTCGTAGTGTTGAGGACTGGATTATTGTTACCCTGGAGACTTGTATGTAAGTCTTGGGAATTGTCTTGTGTGTTGCGTCCACAAACTAGACGGGATTTCGTTACACAAAATGGAACAAACATAAATAGCCCGAATCAAGAGTAAAAAAGGCAGCGGTTGATGTGCTAAAATTTGACGATTATGAAAGATGGATATGTTGTAGATGCTTTAATATCATCAATGATCGAGATCTCTTACTACCTAGGTACTAATGGACGAGTAATTCTCTTCCATACCTGGTAACGGTCGATTCTGCTTTAGCGGTGCACTGGTCAATGTACAGCGGAACAACCACTGTAATATGGAGACATGCTCACTAAAATATAGCGGCCTGTCATCTGAGCACATCACGGAACAAGGGCCTGATCGGGACAAGCCTTGCATGGATCTGTTGACGGCATGGATCTCTCTCTCCATAGAGGGGCTTGAGGGGCACATGCTTTTCCTAGCAAATATGACCTCATACTAAAAAAACTAGGAGCAAAAAAAAAGCAAAAAAGGAATTTTCGAAACGCATCTGGGGCATTTGCTCCCGGCAGGGCTTGAACCTGCGACCTTCGCATTACCAATATTTGAACCGAGGCTCTAGTATTAGTACGAAGCTCTAACCAACTGAGCTACGGAAGCGCTCGAATTGTTGATGAACTGCTAGGAATATCCTAATCATAAAACCTTGTGCCTACTGTATTACTCTCACCATGAGCCTCATCTTTTCAAGACGAAAATGCGAGCCTCCGCTTTCCAGTTTCTAGCCTCTATCAGCCTCTTTGATGCATATACATCTTCTAGAAGCTCTCAGCATTGCTTGGTCTTTCTTCTGCAAGTTAGCCGCTCCTGCTGAGATGACGCTGATATGCGTGTGAGGGGATGAGCGTGTGAGTGAGCAGTGAGCTCAACTTGAAGTTGCATTAATTTGGTGATCGCCTCGGAGCGAACTACTCGGTCCGCGAAGATCCATCTTCTCAAGAAAATGCAGCTGACGACTTTAAAGAGGCGTATCGCATCGCAAATATGAGAGCCGCGATATCCTCAGCCGACATACGAACAGTAAATGGTCAAACTTGGATATCATGCTGCGGTATGCTAATCGAGAAGCCAGCCCAGCTTTTCCATCGCCTTTTCTAGAATTGCGTCCACCGTCTCTCTTTCTATAATGCCATCCTCATATGACACATTAATGACTGTGTCGCCACCAGTCACGCCGGCAACATTTAGGACAAGACTGCGAGATCCTACATTTCCGTTCGTCGCAGCAGCCGAGAATTGCATATCATTAATGGTCCACGTTTCTTTTGCATCACCCGTCGTCGCAACGCCCTTTGGAGTACTTGAGAATGGTCCGAGATTGGATACCAGATATGTATCACTGGTGAATTGTCCTATCCTTGGCATAGAGGTGGTCATAAAATCCTCGATAGTATTTCCTATGAGTGTACCCGCCATCCAGTCGCGGATAGACCCGTAGATGTCACTGTCCATCTTTGACTTGTGTTCTCGGACCAGTTGCCATACGGTACTGCGGAACAAGGAAGCTTTGCCGGCTTTCTCATTCGGGCCGCCATATTTTGCAACAGCCTTGCGGAAAGGCTCCATGTAATGAATATGTGCCGAACCTGCGGCGGCATTCAAAATCACATTGCTGCGAACCAGGTCGCCGAATTGGGCTGCTGGGAGATACGGCCGAAGATCGAAAGCAAATCGGGATGCGCCAAACATCGCTTGGGGATAAAAATCAGCTGCCAGAGTGAGATTCAGCAACGTACACAGTAGGGGTGTGAATGTTGTCTGGTTCGCGCGGCAGGCTGAGAGCACAGCACGCATTTTATGCGAGGGAATGCGGTAACTTGAGACTCTGGTGATTGTTCGATTTGTGTAGACGGGCTTTGCGACTACTGATTGAGCATATGGTCGAGGCCGGGGAAGGTCACCAAAGACAAGCTTCCCACCAAAGAAGAGACGGAGCAGGTACCAAATAAACATCTTCCAGAGTAGCCTAGGAATAGATGGCGTAACATTTGAATGCTCGGTAGGCTCAAGTGGGTATTGGATAGTGGAAGGGTAAGTGAGTGAGACTTGAGTTGATACCGGTTTCGAGTCGAGAGATAAGGAGTTGAGGGCGGCGAGAAACGCGCGATGGAATACTGTGCCTGACATGCCATCGCCAATGAAATGATGGTACACAAACACGATGTGTTTTCTTCCCACGACAAGCACTTTCCACCAGGGAGTGTCTGGTTCATCGTCGGTCCAGTCCCACGTGTTGTGCGCATTTTCAAGAAGAGTTGGGCCAACTCCCGTGTCTTCATCACCATCCATGAACACCACACATTTTTGCAGATCAATCTTGTGCAGTAACGCGAGGTGGAGGCTATGCTTTCCGGTGCTGGAAGATGGCAAGCTCACGCCGACGGCACATAGTGGTGGATGTGCCTTGATGACAGTTGCAAGAGCCGCGTAAACGTCATTATCAGATAGTGTTCTACCATGCGAAGAATATTCTGCTGATACAAGAATGTTCGATTGGATGCCAAGACGGTGAAAACAGTAGAACATGCGATCGTAGAGGCCTGTGATGCTAATTGTTAGTTTGCTAATGGCGTGTCGGTGGCGTTGGCATACTAGACTCTCGCAATAGTGTGTACTTTTCAGATAAAGACATTGTGTTCAATTGTATGTTATAAGGGCCCCGAATTGAGTGATTCACGGAAAAAAGATCATCGCGTAGTAAAGGCATGTGATATCGGTAGAGATCGTACTGGAGATGTATGTGTCTCTTATATGGTGCTGACGTATGTTCTAGTGTTCTCGGGCTTACTTGATCCTACACTAGACTATTGGTCTAGACCTTAAGATGAAAGACAGATTAGTATCGATGTAGGTGATCCTACCAGGAGCCCAATTGGACATCTGTGTCCGAAGTATAGTCGGCATCCGAAACGAAGATAGGGCTTACATGGCAGCAGACTTAACGTGGGCTAAAGCATAAACTAAAGTGGCAATACATTAGTCGAAACAAGCGGAAATTGGCATTTACCTGTTAGGTTAATGGAATACTACCCTCAGGCTTAAAATACTCTCAATAGGCTAGCGACGCAAATGAATACCCGAAGTCGACTTCAATCATACCATCAAATAAGTGTGTGATGTGCCTAATGATATTGCTCTCGCGAGGGGACTATGCCGGAACCCCACGATGCTCTCCCATCCTATCCTTAATAGATGGCACTGTGCTAGATTCTACTATTCATTTATGTAAGTGGCTATATGCCTATATCTGGTAACTTAGAGATGTTCAGATGTGTAGGCGCATAAACTGCACCCAAGATATACACCGAAACATAGACTCTTGACGTTTGTATAATAGCTTTAAGGTGTAATAATGCTCGTTGAAATATTCATCTTACTATAAATTGAGTAGAAGTGACCGTTGAATCCTGCTCAAGGCGATTTTATATTTATATCTGACTCTGAACTCCTTGGGCATATTTTGATTGGCTGTGCTTACATCTTAACCTCTGTACATTTCACTTCTCTTCAATTACTCCCGACCTTCCCAACTTGGAAAATGGCAGCACTTTCCATGACAGCTTTAGATACGCATCACGAAGTAATCAGGGAGTAGATCGAACGCCGTCCCATCCCTTTGAGCAACTTCCTAACCTTGCCGCCTCTCGTAGTGAGCTACAAGCGTTTCACGTAGTTGCGCTTGAAATGTCACGGGCTGATCCAAGGCCCCGGTATCACCAAGAAGAATAACGTCGTAAGACTCTTAGCAACAGCGTATGATAAGTCAACAAAATTATAAGCTGCTAGGATGAGGATATCTCACTCATCACCGTGATATCAAAGGCAGGTGACTTTGAGAACGGCAACACCATCTGATTGGAAGATCAAATGAGTTGATAATCGGGAGAGAACGACGGTTCTGCCGTCAAGATTTAGAAATCGATATCGACTTCAGCATATGTACATTTTTGTGCACTTGGCCCTTTGCTCCACCCCACGGCTCCAAATCAAAAGACTTGGAATCAACCTCCTCCCACCCAAGATTCTGATACATCTTTAGCCCGGAAGGGGAGGAGTCCAGCCAGCAACCGACATTATGGAGTCCCTTATCTGCGTATCTAGCAGCTATGTCGGAAATCATGAACTCGAGAAGCTTTGTCCCAACTCCGCGTCTCTGGAAGCTGGGATCAACCGCTAAATTCTCCAAGAAAGCATGTGGTTGGCCATTGGTGAAGTCCAGTCGAGCTTTAGTCAATGTCCCGAAGTAATGAAGACAAAGAGGCGCGTTTGCTCCTTCGGGAACTTCGTCTGAGTTGTGAGGCCATGGATTTCGTTCAGAAGCTGTATGGGAGGACTCATAAGTGTTATATACGGCTGCGCCAATTATGCGCTCAGATGTTACGCCCTCGGAAGATGTTTCGTATGTAACCCCTTTGATGTAATGTACCGTTGGGTCCGATTGCCAGACATGCTCATGTCTGGCGATTTTTGAACTTCGAAGAATGGCCGAAGATGGAGAGGGTGATATGGGGTAAATTAGTCGTAATAAAGGTGAGGCCGCTCCGAATGCCCTTTCCTCGATATCGACAATCTTCTCCAGGTCTCCTTTGTCGGTCACGGGTAAAACTTCTGTCCGGAACATGGCGCTTGTGTCTGATCCTTTCTGCATCTTCTAGTTTTCTCGAGCTAAACGATGAGAATGACACTTTGAGAGAGTACTACAAATTGAAGTTACGGGCTGTTCGAGCTAGTTGTACTTGTAAGTGGGACGTCGGTGGGACGTCTAGGTGCCCTATCAGCGTCTCGGCATTTACTAGTAATATGTAATTAATAGATAGATATAAGCAGACATAAAATGGCCTATTAGAAGTGCTCACTGTCTTGGGGATAATAGCTGCCTATTGGACTGGAGCTGGAGCTTGGCTTCATGGCGGGCGCTCAGAACCAATCTACGGGTCAGGTAATCATGCTCAAAAGGCAAAACCTGGTGACTACGGCGTGAGCGCTTATCGACGCTGGGTCACTTGGACCGGCGAAATTTGCCGTCGATTCTATTTGGACACTTGCGCGCCTTTCAAAATATCCGTCTAGGCACCGGTGGTTCTTTAGGTGCATTCTTACCCTCGCAAATCTATTTTTTGCTCATGCTCTCCCATTGATGAGGCTGAGTAGTATAAACAACTATAGCAACATTCTTCACTGAAGAAAATATTATACCTTTTAATCTTAATAAAATAACAACATTAAGTAAACTTGCGTTAAGTAAGGAGTTCAATTCAGCACTCAGGATATCGTGATAAGAGCTCTTGATCAAATTTGGCAAATGCGACAAACCTGATCAGTCGTGGAGATGGTGGGTAATCGTTGCAAAATAGTCCAACAAATATTAGTTAATCATGCTGCTTACGAAGCCTCGCTGTCCCGCGGAGAGCGAGTCGCACGTCATTACCAACAAATCTTCCCTAAAGACTGGTTACCAGGCGGGTTGACTAAGTGGCGGACCATTAGGCCCCCGCCTCTCTGCTAGCAGAGAGGGGGGAGCCTTAGAGGTTCCCTTCTAGTCAACCCCCCGAGTAATCCAAGTTCAGGCCTAAACTCATCGAAGGCAACAGTCAAAGTGA